GGGCACTTCAGTATGATTTCTTTCTGGTCACTGGGTGTAGATTTGAAAATGAACTTGAGACTCTAGGCTCTGGTTCATGTGAGATTATGAAGAATACTGGTGATACATCAGGCTATGTCTATACTAGAAATATTTTACTGATATAGGAATACTGGTTTATGATACCAGCAAAGCACTCCTAGTGTGACTGCAGCAATCCCAGCAAATCTGCACTGTTTACTGGTATAGTAAACCACACCCACAAATAAAATAAGTACAGTTTTGCCAGTCTGAATATGTCTACACAAGGGGCTTCTGCTGGCAAAGAGATGACAATCAGGGATTACATCTATTTACATCCCTGACTACCATAACTATGCTGACAGACATCTGTAGTGTAGACACAGCCTTAGATGTAAGAGAGACATAAGAGAGGGGAATCAGATATTCTGGGCAAGACTCCCTGTCATATTACCTAGTTAGGAAACAGAATCGCTATCAAGTGTAGATATGCTCTCTGGATCTGGAAATGGGGTCATGAGGAAGAAAAAGGCAGGAATATGCTCTGCCAGATGTCATGAAAATTACTAAAGGCTAGTGGAGTTTAAATGTTAAAATAATCTTTACAAAATTATCTTCTAATTTTTAAAGGATCATAGCGATGGCATAGCAATGAGACAATAGTACATTGAGTAGCCATGCAGAAGTTGTGGTTTCAGATATAATATTAGATTTGGGTTCTTGCCTGCTGATCTTCACTGGTCCCCAAAATTTCTGCCTTCATTGAAATCAGTTGGGTTAGATGGATGTAACTGAGGGCACAGTTTTTCTGAATTGGTACCTGAGGAAAGTATTTAAATTGCTCTGCTCTTCTAGTATTACCATTCAGATATGACCAGTCTAGACAATAGCCAGGATTCATCCATATTACTTTTCCTTCCAGCTTGAAGAAAAAATACTAAAAAGGAAGGATAGGAAGTGACTTAATAGTTTCATTGCTGCCTCAATGTAGTTGATATGTGATGGTCCATGTAACTTGCACAACACTTTGAAATGTATATATTGCAATATAACATTACAAAGGAAGATCAATGCATTCCTCTGCAGCATAGAAGCATCAGTGTGGATCAGTTGTCATGACATTAAAATGGGAAAGTTCTTCCAGATAAAGAGATAACAGAACTCTCTCTTATACAAAAGTACAAGATTAATTTTGAAATGGACAGATCATTTAATCAAGTGTGTGTGTGTGTGTGTGAGGGAGTGAGAGGAGGGAGGGAATGTATATCCATTTATGTTATTGTAATAATGATTTATACCCATTTGGCAGTAGATTCTGCTCTCAATTAGAACAGTGGAAAACTCGAATATCTCCACTAATTTCAGTGCTGTTGTAAACAATTTCATTGTTATAAAGGGAAGAACTTCAAAATGTACAGCAAATAACATTTTCAATTCATACAAGTCACTTCTATCCAGTGAGAGTCAGTATTTAACAAATCCAGAAATATGAAAGCAGTATGGTCCAACATTGGAAAGAAAGCATTAGAAAGAACTGCAGTTCAATGCAAAAATAACATAAATAGGCCGGCACTTTGAAATTCACAGTTGTGATTTCAAGATGGCTGTGTTACAGGAAGTAAAGTTGTAACATTAAATACTTTTCAGTCAATCATCATATAGTTAGCTTAAGCTAACTTGCACATACTACAGTGCTGTACATATTGACTTAGATTTTTCTAAACATTAAGAGACACATGATATTTTACGGCTATGACATAAGATCACTCTGACAACATGCAGCTATAGTTGGCAGTGGAATTTTTCTTTTGCTCTGTCTGTTGGAGCACTGCATAACACAGATGCGTGCAGTTTGGTCTCAATAGAACAAATATTACCTTCCCAGTCTATCTAGAGTACAAGCTAGGTAATTTCCGTTATGGTATCTAACTTCATGAAGGTGGAGAGGAGACTTATGAATGTCCCAGTCACAATTAAGTTATCCTGATTCTTCTACAAATGAAGTTAAATGTTCAAAAAGAATCAGGTACCATTAAGCTTAGAAGAATTGTTTAATATTCTTCTGCTTCTTTGAGGCATGGTATAGTGAAGAAGTAGGTTTTACTGTATGATCTGGAGATATAGAGGGAAGGATTTTTCTCAATATCTTTTGGGAGGATATTCCAGAGCCTTGAATCTGCTGTTGAGAAGGTTTGACCTCCACCTTCATTGAATATATACCCAGGCTCTGCTAAGTGTAGTACAGATGATCACAGTGGGCATAGGAAGTCTTGGAAGGAGAGGCAGTCTTTGAGAACATGGACAGATTCCATTTAGGGCTTTGTAAATCAGAAACCTGAATGGGGAGGCAGCGTAAATTGTGAAGAATAATAGGTTGTCTTTGACTCATCCTTCATAGGAACCAAGCTGCCATATTCAGTAATAGTCATAGGTGGCAGGTATCGCAGGCCGGGGGGAAGTTGAGCCTCCCCAAAGAGCCAGGGGTGGCCCCGCCCAAGCTCTGTCCTGAGGCTCCCGCTTACTTTCTACTCTTCCCCCGTGGCCCAGGTGGTTCACATGCCGCCTGGGGCCACAGTTTCTTCTTTAACTTCTTACCTAGGGCCAGTTACAGAGCATGACATCAGTCTGAAGGTGATAAATTCGTGAAGCATTGTAGCTTAGTCATTTTCTGAGAGAAATATATACAGCATTCTTACTAGCCTAAAGCGGAGAATTATGCTTTCAATAGCAAATGCTATTTGATTGTTCTAGGTCAGTAATGAGCCCAGGGTGCCATGCTTTTTCTATTTCTGTCTAACCTATTTTTCAATGAAAAATTGGGTTCTCAATTTTTTGTTGAAAAACCAAACACCCAAAAATCAAAAAGTCTGAAAAGAAAAATCAACCCCCATAATATATTATTCTGGAAATGGAAACTCCCAGGAGTTCTCTATGGGCCAGGCTCCACAGCTAGACTTTATCTCACATGATGCACTGCGTCTACTCACCAAGAGGGGGACCATGGTACATCATAGGAGATGTAGTTTGATTAGAGAGCCCAGCCTCTAGAGGAGAATGGGGACATGATGCACCACAGTGGCATTTCTGAATCAAAATATTTTAATTTGAAAAAGGCTATATAGAGCTGTGTGACAGCTTTTGATTAGTACAGTTCCACTGTATAATTATATTTGAAATCAGCAACTTTTTTCAAGCATTTTATTCGCTGGTGGAGGCGGCAGGGAAGAGGGGCTGTCAGAAAGTCAAATACTATGGCCGGGTAATGTACTGATCATTAATAAGCTAACATTTATAGTCATGCAAGATAAGGATAGTCCGATCTTATGCTCCAGGCCATAAAGTTGACTGCCACAAGGTAGGAAATGAAATTCCTCTCTCCTTATTTCACATTCAGGTACATCTGAGATACCAGCAGAGGCAGGATATCAGACTAGATGGTACAACATTTTGATCCTGTTGGGCAAATCCTTATGTTGCTAATGGCAGCTTGTAACTCGGCTAACGTAGCACATTATTTTATTTCATATGAAGTCTATGCTATTCTGACAAAATAGGAATAAAGCAGCTTGAATTCATACAACACATTGTATTAGGCTATGTCTATACTTAAAATGTGTAGGTGCAGCACTTCAATGTAATCCACCTCTCTGAGAGGCAGTTGCTAGGCAGACAGAAGAATTCTAGTACTATCTACATCGGTGGTTAAGTTGGCTTAACTACATCTCTCAGGGATGTGGATTTTTCACACCCATGAGAGACACAGCTGTAGACTAGCCCTAAGCGTACCAGCTGGACAACCATGCAAAGTGCGGCAAAGCTTCAACTCTCATGGTCTTCCATGCGAGTCAGCAGCCAGCCCCATCTAAGGAAGAGGCCAGCATCTTGCAGCATGGGAGGGGAAGCTTGTGAAAACTGAGAGTACTCATTGACTTGCAGGAGCAGGCCTTTGGGTATGAGATGCTACTTGTTTTATTTCTCTGAGGAACTAACGCATATACAAGAAACAAAAAGTTTTGAAGGCTTCTCTTCAAAAATCCTAAAATTCAGCTTGATTTTAGATACTGAAAATATCTCATTTTAACAAAAAAAATTGAGCTATTTGTCTCATATGCAGCATTAGAAATGAATATGAACACATGGCCGATTTTTACGCAGCCTCAAGCTCATCTTTGATTTTGAATGTGCAATTAATTACAAGTCCAAATGCTACTGTAACCACCCATTTGGCAGATGCAATCAGGTAGTTAGACAATGGTCCCTGATTCTGCAAACATTTACCCCTCAACTGAGGGAAACATCCCAATTAAGGAAACATTGGCTGCACTAGAACTTAAACATGTGATTAAAGTTAAACATGTGTCTAAACGCTTTCCTGAGTCAGGGCTATAAGCACTGACCTTCTAAGTTAATCGCAAGACTCCCATTGGTTTCATTGGGCATTGGCTAGGCCCTAAGTACTTCCTACTTATAAATGTTGGCAGGATTGGGATCTAATGCTAACATCTGTGTTGAAGTTAACTATGCCCTCAAAATTATGCCAGAAAAACTGGGGGGCATTTTAAAAAATCAGGTTAACTCATAGCTGTTGAATAATTCAGAAAAGTGAGGCCATTAAATAATTCTTCTCAGACTTTGTGGTTAGGTCATCCATAAATGAACATATCTTATTGAATGTGTTATGTCAAAACCACAGTATAAAAGATATACATATAAGTATACATTATATATTAGTATATACTTACTAGTATATATGTATTATTTACTTTAGTGAAAACATTATCTGTTGTATGTCTTTATCTGAAAGAAACAAAACTGCAAATGCAAATGACAAAAATATGAAAAAGAATGATGACAGATCACACTGTCAGTGAGATCATGCAAAAAGAGGAAATAAATAATCCCCAAAAAGAAGGAAGAAAAAAAAGAAAAAGCAAACACGCCAAAGGCACTAAAAAAGACTTACAGAAAGCGAATACAAACAATTCTAAAATATTTCTTACCTTCTTCAGTCATTGTGTCATAATATTTTAGCTTTCCATATGATCCAAGCTCTACAACATCACAGTAAAAGACATAAAGATAAGGAACCAGCAGACATTCAAGAAATCTACACATTTGCACATGTGCTTAATAAAGTTTGGAGGGATTATGTAAAATTTCTGCAGAATTATAGGCACACATGGATTGTTGAAATGGTGAACCGTGATTTTTTTTCACTGCAAATTTCAGAAGTCACTTGCTACAGTTAAGTGACTTGACTGGATGGGATTTGGGGACAAGCACTGTAGTTAAGGACTAAGACTCTGTCTACACTAGAGACCTTACAGCGGCACCTGCATTGCTGTAAGGTGTCCTGTGTAGCTGCTCTGTGCTGGCGGGAGAGAGCTCTCCTGCCGGCATAATTAAATCACCACTACGAGCGGCACTGTCCACACCGGTACTTTTGTCAGAGAAACTTATATTGGTCAGGGGTGTGTTTTTTTCACACCCCTGACTGACAAAAGTGCTAGTGTAAGACATAGCCTATCTTTCAGAGCAACGAGTGATTTGTGGTACCTTACTTTATTTTAGATACCTTAAAGAAGCCTGATTTGCAGAAGTGCTGTGAACCTGCCCTTTGAAAATCAAGTTCTTTTAATGTGTTTCAAGTTGGGCACCCAAAAATTGAGACACCCCAAATGACCAGTCACTTTTTGAAAATGTATGCCCTAATGAATGGGACTGGGTCTCCAGGTTTGGAATCTAAAAACAAAGGTTCTAATGGTGGTTCTGATGCTGACTTGCTGTCTGAACATGGATACATAACTTAGACTTAGTTTTATCATCGGTAAAGCTAGAGAATTTATATTTACCTACTCCAGCGGATTCTGTGACATCTACTTAAATAATGTTTGCAAAGCGCTATACATGTACATAGTATTTATTAAGACCAGTCAGTGGCAGAAGACAGACTAGAACTTAGGAGGACCCTCCTGACACTCAAGCCTTTGCTTATTCCTCTAGATAATTTGGCTTTTGTGAGGCATCACCTCCTCTTCATCCAGAAGTTTTTTAAAGTTCATTTTTTTCTGTGAAGCTGTTTCTTTCAAGTTTTGCATGATTCATTATGAATAATTTACAATCTTCCAAAATGTTATGTAAAACAATATTTGAGGGATTCAAAATCATGCAAAATGTACTGGAAAAAAATTTTGCACAAATGTGACATTTTTCATCAATTTCACTCAGTTCTACCTTTAATGTAAAACTTTAATAATTGCACTTCTGAGTATTCAACACTTAGCAGCAATAGCAATCTTAAGATTTATAGATATCTAACAAGTTGATGATGGGATTTTCAGATCAATTATTCTTTCCTCATATTCATGAACGCACTTAAGAAATTAATTATAAAAATGCTAGCTCATTATTTTGTTCTTAGCCCATTGTTTGGAGCTGATGTACTGCATGTTCTATTCAAAGAGTTTTCACTTGGGTAAATTTCAATAGACATCTTGAACTTAGTTTTCATTCTAAGGTATTGTGATGATATGCAAATCTGGTATTTAAAAAGATCCTTTGTTTATACTAACAATTTCAAACACTTGATTCTGTTAGATGAGCATTTCTGAGGCCACTTATGTGATACAGGGAAAACTATATGGCATAAAAACAAAGTCTACAGTCTTTTCTTTATCACTATGATTTTTAAAGTGCCGTACACTTATTCATTGTAAAAGATTGTGTTACATGAATAATCAACATATTAACAAAAATGATCATATGTAATATGTATTCATATTTGTACAGTCTCTTCTTTTCTCCATGAGTATGTAAATATGCACACACACATATACATATATATATAAATGTTATAATTAGTCTCATTTAGAGCAAAGACAGCAGTCTACTAAAGAAAGGATTTTATATAGTTTTGTGAAAACTTTCTATAACAAAGGAAGTTCTAGTCTGTACATGCTGGTTTTAACCCTAAATAAATACAGGTGATGATTTAGCACCTGAATTCCTTACCCAAGCAAAACTCCCACTGACTTCAGTGTGGATTTTCCCTGAGTACGGAGCCCAGGACTGGATATATTGTTTAGTTAGAACTCTGGTTATCTTAACTACTGGGTTCAAATTAACTTTTAACAGTTCTTCCTCTTTTAAACTTGCGCTCCCTGATGACTGTCCCAGTTCCCCTGGGATCAGATGTACTGAAGACTGGGGAGAGAAGCCAGTGGAGATTCTTGACAGAGAGAGGAGTGAAAGGAGGTCCTAAAGGAAAGAGGAGCAGTGAAATTGGACCCGGAAGCAGATGCTTGGGAACAAGAGAGCTGATAAGGGGATGGATATAGTAATCAGGAAAGAAGGGTCCAATATGAGCGAGGAAATGGAGTAGGGGATAGGAAGGCAATACAGCACTGCGGGAAAGAAGGCATCTACCAAAGAGGGTTTGGGGAACTGACAAAACAATTGTGTGGAAAGGCATTAGTGTAAGACAGGGGACCTGCTGGGAAAGAGATGAGACACAGAGGAGATTCCAACAATGGAAGGGTGAAGAACGCAGACCCAAATACCCACGCAGCAGAAAGCAAAATCACATTAGAAGGGCACGAGAGGAGATACACTAGGGATCAGGTTTAGATCTGGGTTTGCTGCTGTTCCCACTGAAAGGGGGCACATAGAGAGACAGGAAGAAAAAAAGACAAACTTAACACAAATAAGAGAGAAGGAAAGAAGACATATACACAATAAGAATGCATGATGCCGGCACTGGTTGCGTTCCTGGATTTTAGATATAGCGAGTGTGCTGCCAAGACTAGTAATTTCAGACTAAAAGGATTTAAAATAGTTTAATTCCCACATTGTTAGAAAACCTACTGCCTGTGAAACTCAGAACTTGCAGGCGAGACTACATTCCCCAAAGCTTTTATAGTCCTGCTCATGCTTTGCAGAAGCAACAAGGTAGTGAGCACACTGCACACTGACCGCACTATTTTGCAGTCCCCTGTACTTACTGATGAGAATTATCCCATTGACTTGAATAAGACTACTTGGGTGAGTATGTGCTAGTCAACATCATTATCGGTAAAAGAATTGGATACTAAATAGATACAACAAAAATGACAGTAAAAATGTTAGCAACGTCCGTTCTGTCACATGTTGCCACTTAGTATGTCATCTCTGGAGTTCCATGGATGCAGGCATTTCCAAGACTACAGCTCTTGTATGGGAATTGCAACAGTGATGGGTCACAGTGAATAGAGCATGACACAGACCCCCTGAAATATCTGAGGATTAAAATCCAGTACACAGACAATGTAGGATGCAATATGATATAACTAACTTTAAGATTCCCTCCTCAGATTGAGCCTACTTTTTGAAGATTTAGGCCAAAATATTCAGACTTGGGTGCCAAAAATTAGGCACCAAAATCTATACATACAAATTTGTTAAAATATTTCACATTAATATTAACCTGACATAAACCTTCCAACAGGTAGATTTTACTTAGTACATATTTTACACCTATTGTGCAAAAACTAGGCAGTGTTACTGCCACCCATGTCTCATCCCTGGAGTGCATCTGACCTTTGGGATTCATCTGTAATCTTCCCATTGTAATAGATTTTTCATTTTTATTATCTTGCCATTGTAAGATATTTTAATTAGGGAGGGAGTGAACTGGTTTGGATACAATAGGGACCTACACAAATGTTCATCCAAAATTCAAACTGAATTCGACTACCTTTTTTTTTTTTTTTGAGGCTTAAAAAAAGATTGCATCTCTCTGAACCTCCTGATTTCAGTCAGAACTGGAAATGAAATATTGTGGAAAAAAATTACTCTTGATGCTGTTTATGATTAGAGCTGGTTGAGATTGTGTGTCTGGGGATTGTTTGAGCCTTTGTTCCCTGGATCATCCTGGATCATCTTTGATCAGCCTCAAGCAGCCTTGTGATCACCCTCCCCTGTGTGATTAACGAGGGGGTAGGGCTGACCTCGGAGAGAAGGCCTTAAAAGCCAGAGGCTAAGCGACCAAGGGGAGCTAGCAAACAGGGGACCGCAAACAGGGGAGTTTGAGAGGGATTTTGTGGGAGGGAGTCATACTAGAATTGCTATGGTTAGGAAGGGACGCATTGCCAGTGCCAACACTGCTCCTGTCTCCAGACAGAGAACCTAACCACGGATGCCTCTACCCAGATCCTGGTGTGGATTTGCGGAGACTGTGGCCTGCATTTCCCACTCTCAGAAAGCCAGGCTGTGAAAGGTGTGAAAGGTGCCTGCTGGTGGAATCTCTCAGGAAGCAGGTGGGAGAGCTACAGGAGGAGGTGGCTAGGCTGAGGAGCATCTGTGCACACAAGGAATTCATTGACAATATTCATGTGGAGACTTCCAAGGCTGAGGATGCTATCCAGCTACAGAGGATTGCTGTCATGCCACCGGAGGAAGAGGATAAGGCTCTGTCACAGGGAGGACACTGGCTACTGGTTACTTCTGGCAGCAGGCAATGTTAGCAACCACCCCTACTCCCAACCCACCCACCATAGTGATGGAAAACCGTTATGCTGCCCTGGCAGTGAGTGATGAGGAATCACCCCCGAAGGTGGAGGAGGAGAAGCCATGTAACTCCAAGGCTGGGAGGATCACAGCCACCACTCCCAGGAGGAAACGTAAAGTAGTGGTGGTTGGTGACTCTCTTCTGAGGGGGACGGAGGCACCCATCTGTCACCCTGCCCTGGCATCCTGGGGGGTATGCTGCTTGCCAGGGGCCTGTATCCAAGATGTTATGGAGGAATTGTCAAGGATCATCCGTGCCTCTGACTACTACCCCATGCTACTCATCCATGTGGGCACTAATGATACTGCAAGGTATAACCCTCAGATGAGATCAGATCAGAAGTGACTACAGTGTGTAGTCTGGGTGTAAGGGTGAAGGAGTTGGTAGTGCAGGTGGTGTTCTCTTCATCCTTCTGGTCAAGGGTAGGGGCCCAGGCAGACACAGATGCATCCTGGAGGTGAATGCCAGGAGGTCTTCGGCTTCTTTGATCACAGGATGCTATCCAAG